TCATAATGTAAATACGTCTGACAAGAAAATATTACTCTTTGGATTTGAATGAATGGTCACGTTTTTATATATTAAATTTTAAGTTTTATTAAAATTTATAATGTTAATGCAGGCTCTTCAATTCCACCGATGTGATCATCTTCGATTGAGTGGACTTACTCATATAAACAGCCCACGATCCCATATTGGTATAGGCACAAGCAATGACGTGGATATCTCCCATCTTACTATAATTGCACCTGATGAAAGTCCAAACACTGATGGAATTAACGTCGCAAACTCAACCTATGTCTATATTCATGACTCTAAAATTGGAACTGGTAATTAAAAGTTAAATCATATTTTTCATTCATTAACCATGCACATTTGTTTTGCAGGCAATTATAGTTTTTTTTTTCTTTCCATTTTTGTTACAGGTGATGACTGCATTGCACTCAGTACTGGTTCTTCCAATGTTAGGATCGCCAAGATTGCGTGCGGACCAGGTCATGGAATTAGGTTTGTCCAAAATAACCACATAACTAAAGTTATTTGAATTTACCACATATTCAGTGTTTAATTTGTCAAATTCTGTTTGCAAACAGTGTGGGAAGCTTAGGAGAAGATGGGGCTTATGCTGCAGTGGAAAATGTATACGTGAGAGATTGTAGTTTTAATGGAACTCAAAATGGAGCAAGAATCAAGACATGGCCGGTAATTATATATATTATATTATGTTATATCTATTAGTTTCAAGATCTAAAGTATTGTTCTTGTAAATTTCTAGGGTGGATCCGGATATGCTAGGAATATAACCTTTGAGAACATCACACTTACCGCAACTAAAAACCCCATCATTATTGACCAACAATACTGCAACGGTGCTCACGATTGCGCAAAGCAGGTAACGTTTTTTTGTCATACTTATATGTTGCTAGATTATGAATCTAGACTACACATTGAAATGAGAATCGACATAATCAATGAGTCTTGATTCACGATTTGGCAACGTAATCAATTCTCGTGGTTTTAAATATGCTGGCAATGCTAACTTGTTTGAAATACTGATTATTAGAGCAAAGCTGTGCTGGTGAGCAATGTGAGATTCACTGGTTTTAGAGGAACTTGTGGTAATGAGGAGGCCATCAAATTAGACTGCAACCGCATCTCGGGTTGTCAAAACATTGAACTGGTGAAAATTAATATCACCTCAACGGTTCCAAGTAAGAAGGTTTATGCAAGTTGCAACAATGCCAAAGGAAATTCCGGCTCTACTGTGCCCACTGTATCTTGCCTCAAGTATCCCACTCGTCCATTCATCTAACTCTCAGACTTGTAGTTCCTTGAGGGAAAAAAAAAACAAAAAAACAAAAAATAAAGGCCTTGTAAGGAGAAAAATAAACTATTGTACACCGAAGTATTGCATGGTTTATGGCCTTGTAAGGAGAAGCTTATTATATTCTCCATTTCTCAATTAAAAATATACTTCTTCTTCTTCTCTTTTTTATAATTTAAAATAATTTACTTCTTTCAAGAGTGGAATGTGAAGCTCCTACTTTCCTGTCAATCACAATTTGAGAGATTTTTAATTTTCCTTTTCCAGAAAGTTTAATTGTTTTTGGACTCAAAAAACAATTGAAGAAAGCGTAATTGTTTTTGTTGATTAATTTGGTTGCTTTATTAAATCCGGAAGTGTATGAAATTAGCTGTTTTTCTGTTACATGTGTCAGAGGCCCAACACAATGGACATTCCGGCCCAATTATGCAACAGAAAAAAAAATATGTATATATTCATCGGAAATTTTATAATGAGAGGGTTGTGGGTGAGGGGGTTGTGGGAGGGGTTCAATCCCACTATCCAACAAGAGAGAGAATATAATAGACTTAAAACTTGTTTAATGATTGAATGGTTGGATTGAACCCCTCATCGTCACTCATGGATCCATCTCAAACGCAAGTGATGGATTTTCTTGATGTGCCAATAACCTTGAATAAACTAATATCAATTTTTTGAAAAAAAAAATGTACCAAATGACGAACATAAAGGTAATGTTATGAAAAGTTAACCCAAAAGTTCATATGAATGCAAAGCTTATGAAGTTTTCAGAAAGCTTAGGTCATCTTGTTGAAGTTTTCGTTCACAGTTGAACTGAGGTGGAATAAATAAATCTCTTTTCTACGTAATAGTGGTGCTGGTGATGGTGGTAATGGCAGTGGTGCTGGCGTTGGTGGTAAGGGCAGTGGTGTTGGCGTTGGTGGTAAGGGCGGTGGATATGAGAGTGGGGATGGTAGTGATTGCCATGGCAGGGGTGATGGTATTGGAGGGGGTGACAATGGTTTGTAGTTTTTTTGTTCATGACTCATTGTCCTGACTCCTGTGATTTTAGAAAATTACACCTATTTAGATGGAATCCAAACTTGAAATTGATGACTTCCAAAATCCAAGTTTTTCTCCTCATTAATGTAATTATAAATTTCCCCTACAAGGTAATTGGCATATATGTAATTTTTAAAAAAAATCTGAGTTTTGTTTAAGAACATTTGGATGCACATTCTTGAAATAACCCTTGTTTTTATAGTAAATTTGGATTGTCTTTTTTTTTTTAAATAGTAAATTGGTTTGTCATTCTTTTTTTTAGGACCTTTCTTATTGAGAGGGGTGACAGTTTACTAAACTCACAAACACTACACATATGCTAGGACTTGAACCCAGAATCTTGCCTGAGGGAGTAAATGCTCCAAACCACTACTAGTGGGAACCCAGGACCTTTCCTATTGTCATCTTTTTTAATAGTAAATTACATTGTCATTTTTTTATTATAGTAAATTATGTTGTCATCCTTAAATATGATGTTTTCATTAAAGTTGGGTGTTATAATGAATTTTGATTTCAATCATTTTAATTAGGTATAGGTACAAAATTGTTGGCACATTGATATACTTATTAATGTAAATGTACTTGTAATTTTGTACCTACACATATATTCAAAATAATGTCTCTAATCCAATGGCTAAAATAAAATTTTAATCTAACACTTTCTTATGAAAATACAACTTTCTCCACTAATGAAAATCTAAATACCCCATTTTTAAGAACATTAATTATCTTCTGAAGTTGCAGGCCAGTAGTTTGAACATGAACCAAGTACTTCTAGAGCCTCTGTTGAGTGAGTCGGTGTAACTAGTTCATGAAATTAAACAAAGCCACCAGAGGTTTTACATAAGTCTATGTTCTATGTCATTTTAAAAAAAAAGAGAAACGCATGCATGGGCTGTCATCTGTGAAAGGTGTTTAGAGTCATAAATGATACAGGATATGGATGTTATCTACGAAATCCAATCGAAGTGAAGGAGTTGTTGTGAATTTAAGAACGTTTGCCATGAAAACTTTCATATATGGGAAATTATAAAAACTTGTGCACTTGAATAACAAATGGCATACATCTACTTGTGCTTATGAACAACCTGCTATATATACCACTTTCTCAAAACTTGACTTTGCGAAGTTTCCTAACGTGCTTCTCAATGCTATAAACTTACCTAATGTGGTCATTAACTTTAAAAACATATCATCTTTTAACTAAACAGTAGTTGTCACATGACTAGGTTTTGTCACGTGACATGAAAGACCAGAAAAAGTTTTCATCTGTATAAATGTAGGTTCATACCAGTTATTTTACCTCCCTAAACATTTTTGTCTCTACTAGCTAGTCATTTATCTCGGAATGAGCACCTCATCACTTGTAACCCAAGATCAGATACATAGGTTCCACAAAACTGATCGAGAAATTTTTTCTCGATTGGTCATCAATTTCATGAGAGATCCGGCTGAGTCCTTGCTGGTTATGGCCTTATGGCTATGGCTTCAAGACAAGGGCTTTAACCTCATGGCCAACATGTTGACGCTTCCTGACACCATAGTCAATGGTTTAGCTGATGAAGCTGTGATATGCTTGAAGTGCCTAGACGCTAAGACAAGTCTCAATACCATGTCAAGGCTTGCTCCAAACGGCCTTCTTTTTACCTCAAGGCTCATGGAAAGGGAAATCCCACTGGACATGTTCAGCCAAAGCAGATACACCATAATCAGTGGGGTAAAAAATTTTCTTACCAATATTTGTGCTAGAATTTTTACTGATATTTTGCAGAGGGTTTTGCACCCAAATCCCCAAGGGTTTCTTGATCCTAACCAGCCTCTCGCAGTTCCTGGATTTCCTCATCCAGTGTTTGGCAGTGTAACAATAATTAACCCCATGTTCTCAAGTGACCATGGAATTCCCACAGGAGGCTTATGGGGCTGGCATCCATATATTGAGCTATCTGTTGATGACAGGACTATGTTTCTAACATTTTCTAGGGGCTTTCCTGTGTCAGAAGAAGAGGTTAAGGAGCTCTTCATAGATTTACTTGGGTTCTATAACTGTGTTGAGAGTGTGCAGATGGAGCATGTTGGTCCAAATGAGCAACCTTTGTATGCTAAAATGGTGTTAATTTCTGTCATTTTTGTTGACAAAATTCTGAAAGGGAACCGGGTTTCAAAGTTTCGAATCAACGGCAAGCACATTTGGGCTCGGAAGTATGAGCGCAGGGAGTAGATGGTCACCTCCAAGAGCCACAGTTTCTGATGTTTGGGTCTTCTTCTTGTTGTTTTTGTTGTTGTAATCTTGGTTGTCTTTAGAGCTGCTACATTGTACCCAGAAACTATATGGACGAAATTAATTTCCTTTGCTTTTATGAGTTAAGTTTACAGATTAATTCTTTGCAATACCTGATGATTTTACTTGGTATGTTCTATTCTATTCAAAATTACAGATTAGGATGCTAACGAAGACATACGATATTTAGAATTTCTCATTTATTGTTGTGCACTTTGGCGCGAACATTTCAAACCCTCGTGAACGTTTAACTAAACATAACAGCAAGTAAGAAACTCTAACTTGGACACTAACGGCGTCAAGAAAAAAAATTAGAAAAGTAAAACCTTAAGTTTCTAACTTCAACATTTATAATCTCTCATTTAGCGATTTGGAATTTGTTTATTTGTTTATGGATTAGTTTTACAGATTGAGTCTTCGCTGTGCCAAATTTTACTCATTATGTTTTTTCTATTTAAAACTATCCATTACATTTCTGACGAAACATACTATATTTAGAGTTTCTCATTTAATATTATGGATTCTGGTGTGCATATCCTATATATGTGAATACAGTCGCAAAAATTACTTGGCACTTGTTTTGATGAGTAGTTGGACCCAAAAACATGTTTCTCTGTACTTGGCACTTGTTTTTTCTTCTTTGTTCTCCTTCTCCCTTCTGGGTTCGAACCATTCCAAGGATATATGCATATTGACAACCTGCATGGAAAACAAGTGTGTGATAAGCTGCCTTAAATGTGATTGTCTTATTTTTTTTGCATGTTAACCAAGTGTAATTTCAAATTTATTACGTTAAACTATTTTTTTTGTCCACTTGTGTTAAACTTTCTTAAACTAATCTTGTTTCACACTTTTTTTGCATGTAAAACAGGTGTGCAAGAAAGCACCATTTTATCTGACAAAATTACAAGTCAAGGCCTTTTTATTCTTTTGTTTGTTGTTTGCTCTATCCACAGAGGGGTCTTACCCATTTACCTTTTTATCTAGAGATAACATTTTTAGTTCTACTTTTGAACAAATTTCTGTCTTTTTCTCTCGTTTTTTTATTATTTAAAAACTCCAAAATCTAAAAGGAAAAAGACAAGAGTTTGTTCTTTGCTGAAAATTACTCATTGTACCCAAGTCAATCCTTCCTGCTAGATATATATTACCCAAAACTCCATTCAATGTTTCCCCCTTCACAAAATTGGAGACAAAACATACACTAAGAAACAACATAAAATTCCAAAGCATTATATTTCCCTATATATTTGCGCATATGAAATATCTACTCTGTTCATCCACAATTAACCATGTTTTTGCTTCTCGCCCTCTCAACCTTTCTCATTAATAGCCAAGCCTCTGTGAACTCCATGAACGATCAAACGCAAACCACCTTCAACTTCCCCACCTTCAGTCCTCAGAGTTGCAGCAATGGTGACCTAATATGCATGGGCTCAGTGACAGCAAGCAATGGACATTTGAGCCTCACACCAGAGCCAGAACAAGGCAATTCAAGCTCATCATCTTCTTCACCATTGTATAAGGTTGGCAGGGTTTTATATCGCTACCCGGTGCGTGCTTGGCCGGCTTTTATCTCTACCACCTTCACTGTTAGAATCTCTGCCTTCCCAAACTCAACCGGTTCTGGAGATGGCATGGCATTTGTTTTTGCACAGGACAGTGGCCCTTCTCCTCCTGATAGCTATGGCTCGTTTCTTGGACTGCTTAATAGATCAACTCAAGGTTAGTTGATGTTCCTTATTAAATT